TGTGTGTGGCCAGCTCAGCCCACCAGGGGGCAGGGCTGGCTGGCATGTGGTGCTGGGGGATTGAACCGTGGTCGCTTTGCTTTGCTAAGGCTTGTTCTAAGTAGGTGCTTTAGACCACTGAGCCATCTCACCAGCCCCCATAGCCCAGCACTTTCTTAAAGGGCCCTTGCCCTGCAGGCCAGGGGCCTCGGAGCCACCAGTTCACATCTTTCCTTCAAAAAGCTTGTGACTGATGCTAGAGGCAAATTTGCTTAAGGAATTCGTGATAAGACTTTTAGGTATGACAGTGATATATGATTAAAACAAAAAATGAAAGGACCGATATGTTTTGGATTCACTTCACAGGAACACAAGAGGCATGGGGTCGGGATTAAGTGGCTGCCCGCGATTTGCTCTTTGCTGCAGGTTGGGTTATCCTTACGCGTGCTGCAGCTTCATTACCCCATTCTGCACAATGCTTTTGTGTGTCGGGGAGTGCCCATGAAACAGCAGAACAGATTCTCAGTGCAAACTGACTAGGCCGCAGAGCCATCGAACCTAGAGATCGTTTCTCCCCCATGCCCCTTCACCCTCTGTCGCTTTGGAGACAACCTGGCTCCTGAACTGCTTTTGTTTCCTCAAGTCAGCAGGCTCAGCCTCCTGGAGCAGCTGTCTGCGCTGATGCTGCCTTGGTGCCCGGGGGTACGTGTCAGCCTGGCCAGCCTGCTGGAGCGACTAGAGGGGACCCCGCAGCTCACCAAGCTTGGGTTGAAGAACTGGGGCCTCACAGATGCAGAGATTAGAATTTTAGGTAGGTACACAGGACCCAAGAGGTTGGCCAGAAACTTCGTCCGTTGACTTTATTTCTTTTGTCCATTTTCCTTGTCTCTTTTAAAAAGTGCATTTAAAGAGAATGAACACATATTAATGAGGAAGAATATTTAAAACAGTGACCCTTTACAAGACTGAAAGGAAAATCATTCAAAATCATTCACGGTATCTGACAAAGTATATTACATTATTGTTCATCCCAGCTGTAACTCTCTGAAATTCAGCAAGGCTGATCCAATCCCAGGAAAAAAAAATTTAAGCCAAGTTACTGGGTATTCAAAATAGGCAAAGGTAAAAGCAGCTGTGTCTCAGTGAACCACAGAATATCTTTAAGCAGTGGTGGCTCAGTACAGCACCCGCTCATCTGTCTAAATGACTGAGGACACCTCCCATCACAAACAGCTGATGAAAGGTCTGGGTGCTGTCTTTAGTCATTAATAATTTATCTGCAATCAACCATCTCAAAACATAATGGTTTAAAACAATAATCATTATAGTTTCTGTGGCTCAGGAACATGGGAGTAGCTTAGCCAGGTGATTCTGCGTCAGCTCTCTCAAGCAATTGCAGGCTGGAAGATGGCGGACACTGCTGGAGGCCCGGCCTCCAGGGGCTTCTCCTGGGCCTGGCAGTTCATGCTGGTGTTGGCTGGATGCCTCAGGTCCTTAGCACTCTCTCTCCCAGTGGGCTGTCTGAATGTCCTCACAGCACGGCAGCTAATTTTCCCCAGAGGATGAAGTCCAAAGCTACAGTGCTTCCCATGGCCTAGCCTTGGAAGGTTGGCACTAGGCATTTCCTGTATGACCTACCGGTGACCCAGTTGAACCCTATGCTGTGGGGGGAGGGGCGATGTAGGGGTATGAAGCACAGGGAGGTGAAAGTGACAATGGGGACCATCCTGGCGGCCATCGCCCCCTGAGGTGGAAGGCTGGTGAAGGGCCTCAGCTGCCTTCACTTCCCTCTCAGGTTGGGTAGAGCGTGTGTAGTTCACATGACATAAAAGTTACCATTTTCACCACTAAGGCGCACGGTTCCACGGCCTGTTTTCACAGTGTCAGTGCAGCCATGGCCACCATTCACCTCCTGAAGCTTTCATCTTCCTCATCGGCATTTCTCTTCCCCTTCCGCATTCCTTCCTATCTGTCTGACCTTTTGCAAGCTTCTCTCTTAGCAGTGCCTGCCTCTAGTCCTGAGGCTGCCCAACGGCTTCCCCCCACCCAATGGTGCTTCAAGATCTGATCTTTCTTTCTCTTTATTCCAGGCTCCTCTTCCTCTTACCCATCAAATCATACCATCCAGGGGTCTTCATTACTTTTCTTGTTTCTGAGACAAAATACCCAACACCTAAAGTTAAATGAAAAAAGGTTTATTGTAGCTCACAGCTTGTAGTGGTTTCAGCCCATAGTCAACTGGCTCCAAGGCAGGGTGGCACATGGCAGGGGAGAAACAGTCCATGGCAGGGTCCACAGGAAGCAGCGGAGCAGCAGGCCTCATGTTCCCTTTCTTCCCATCCAGGCTACCAGGCTTTTGATTGGTGCCACCCAGCAGGGTGGGCTTTTCCACTGTCCACATTCAGAGCTATGCTAAGGACCAATTTAGTTATTATACAACATTAGCACACCCTTAGTGGACCCTAACCTACCCTAGATCCAGCTATCTCCAAAAAGCCTCATCTATGTGCGCATAAAGCTTTTTTTTCGGTGAGGGGGGTTCATCTCCAGGCAGGCCCAACACGTTCTTTAAGTGACATTTCAGGCCCTTCCTCTATTCTCAGTGATACTGGAGGCAGGCAGTTGGTTGACAGGTTAAGTGTTTTATTTATTTATTTTGTGGTACCAGGGATTGAACTCAGGACCTTGCGCTTGCCAAGCTCTCTCCCCCTGGTTGACAGGCTGATGAGCGAGCTATAGTGCCTCTCAGGTAATCTCATGGAGTCTCTTAACAGTGTCTAGATTTAGAATTCATGCTGGGGAGGCACTTTTAGGCAGGGGTCTTTCAAGTCTATAAGTACACAGCCACTCATTTCTCCTACTCCTGAGGCTAGGAAAGGACATGCAACGTTTAGTGAAATAAGAGCTCAGCCAGGCAGGGAGGTGCACACCTGTAATCCCAGCACTCAGGAAGCTGAGGCAGGAGGCTCACAGCAAGCTCAAGGCTAGCTTGAATTACACAGCAAAAATCCCATCTTAGAAAAATAAAGGAGAGCCAGGGAGATAGTTAAGTGGCATAAGCACCTGCCTGGCAAGCAAGTGCAAGTCCTGAGTTTGATCCCTGGTACCAAAAAAAAAAAAAAAAAAAAAAAAAAAGCAATAATCCTCTATTTGATTTTACTTTCTTAGTGTCTTACAAGCCCCCATTTGTGAAAAAGAAAAATAAATAGGAAAAGTTATCAAATTCCTGAAAACTTAGCTATAATGATACACTCTAAAAAATATAAGTTAAAAATGAGTGAAAACTAAATAGTAGTAATTTATTCTCAAATATTTAAAAATTTGTAGATTTATCATTATAACCCTATCAAAGATAACCATTACTATCCCTGGTATACAAAGAGGCCTGAGCCAGCATGGTGGCACTTGCCTGTAATCCTGGACCTTGGGAGGCTGAGGCAGGAGGTTCACCATGAGTTCAAGGCCAGGCTGGGTTACATAGTGAGTTCAAGGCCAGTTCAACTGCATAGTGAGACCTAGTCTCAAAAAGCAAAAGAGGAGCTGGCCAAATAGCTCAGGGGATTAAAGTGCCTGCAAGCAGGTGCAGGTGCAGGGGCTGGGGGGTTGATCCTGGGGCCTGCTGGACCAGCCCTGCCCCCAGGGTATGCCCCTGGGGCACACTGAGATTGCAATTATGACTGGGAGTGGTGGAGCACACCTGTAATCCCAGCTCTTGGGAGGCTGTAAACAGGTGGAGCACTACAAGTCTGATCTAGTAGTGTGACCCTGAACACTCTGTAGACCCTTCCTTAGAATACACAAAGAAGAAGGAGGAGGAGGAGGAGGAGGAGGAGAAGGAGGAAGAGGAGGAGAAGGAGAAGAAGGAGAAGGAGAAGGAGAAGAAGAAAGAAGAAGAAGGAGAAGAAGGAGAAGAAGAAGAAGAAAGAAGAAGGAGAAGAAGAAAGAAGAAGAAGGAGAAGAAGAAGAAGAAGAAGAAGAAGAAGAAGAAGAAGAAGAAGAAGAAGAAGAAGAAGAACAACAACAACAACAACAACAACAACAACAACAACAACAACAACAACAACACCCCAAAGAAGCTTGAATACAAAAAAGGTCATCTGACTGTAGTGGGGACAAGGTTGGAGATGAAGAGCTGAGGAAAGGCCACAGAAGTGCAAATGCATACAGGGTTCCCCTTGGCACAGGCCTCCACCTCCCAGAGGAAGTTATCTGCTGGGCTTGAGGCAGGTACAAGGCAGCAGGAGACAAGTGCTGGACAGCAATCTGTCTCTCTCGGTTCCCGGAATGCTCCCTGTCCATGCCCTCCAGGGGCTGCCTATTGAAGTAGCTGGGTGCACTGATTCTACAGACAGACAGACCTGTCCATCCCATCCACTCAATAGATGCGTGACCCGCAGCAACTTAAATTTTCTGAGCCTAAACATCAAAAGGAGAGGGGGACTTTGGGGCTGGGTTTGAAAAAAAAAGACTCCTCCCAAATGAGCTGTCTTATTTTATTTCATTATTTTTTAATGTATTTGGTACAGGATCTCACTGTGCAGCTCAGACTCATAACAATCCTACTGTCTCAGCCTCCCCAGTGCTGTGATTACAGGTGTGAGCCACTCTGCCTGGTCTTGGTGGCCAGCTCAGCACCATCCTTGGAAACACGCTCAGACCAGGGACTGAAACTCACCTGGCCCCTGGTATTGCAAGCCCATTTAGGGAATGACAATGAGAGGAGGACCTGTGTGTCAGATGAAGGGGGTAATGGAGTTGCTAATTAAAGGGAGAACGTGTCAGGAGATGCCAGGGGACAGAGATGCCAGATGCGAGGCATGGCATAAGCCACAGTGGACCAGGCGTGCTGTCCTGGCAAAACTCAAAGCCTGGGCACTCTTAAATGTTGCCCTTCAGTAGAATAAGTGCTTTCCTGGCAAGCACAGGGTCCTGAGTTCAATCCCAGGTACTGTAAAAAAAAAAAAAAAGTTGCCCTTTTTCTGCCCTGCACTTAGGTTCCTAGGGGTGGAGATCACACAATTTGCCAGAAAAGGTTTGTTACAAATTCAAACTAGCAAACTTTGACAAAATTGCTTAGAACCCATTTTAAAAAAAAAAATACTATAACAACTGTGGCATACAGAAAAAGCAGGGATTGAAAGCGGTTCTCATAGCTTTCAATTTTTATGCAAATAATAAGGCTGAAAATTAAATTTTCTACCTTAAGAAGGCATACAAAGAACTGATTATGCATAAAAGCAAAACAATGATAAACAGAAGAGTCCAAATCAGCTGGCTGTGGTGTGTATGCCTGTGGCCCCAGCTACTATCGAAGCTGGCACAGGATGGTCACGAAGTCGAGGCCAGCCTGGGCAACTCAGCGGGACCATCTCAAGAAATTTAAAAAAACCCAAAGCGTAAAAGGCTGGGTATGTAGCTCAGCCAGAGAACCAGAATTCAATTCAGTACTAAAAAAAAAATAGCACCTTAATTTTGTTGAGTGGTTGCAGTGATATTTATGGGTCTGTGAGTAAAGGGTTTTTGAGTTTTTGTTTTCTTTTTGGGGGGCGGAACCAGGGATTGAGCTCAGGCCCTTTCACTTGCCAGGCAAGCGCTTATTCTACTGAGCTATCTACTTGGCCCCTGTTTTGTTTTGTACTAAAAATCAAACTCAGGACTTTTTTTTTTTTTTTTTGGTGGAACCGGTGATTGAACTCAGGCCCTTGCACTTGCCAGGGAAGCGCTTATTCCCCAAACTCAGGACCTTTTGCTTGCCAGCAGGTGCTTGTGCTTCTGAGCTAGTGCTCCCACCCCCATTTTAAGACAGAGTCTCACTGCATTTTGGGCTGATTTGAACTCACTGTGTAACCCAGGCTGGCCTGGAACCCCCAGCAAGCCTCCTGCCTTAGCCTCCCAAGTGCATGCGCCACCATGCCTGGCTTTCTTGTTCCCTATGTTGCCTCATGGGGATGGTTTGAATGCATTCCCCAAAAAGCACGTGTAGGAAAGTGAGTCCTCAGTACAACAGTGTTGGCAGGGGACATGCGACTGGGAGCTATTTCAGGTCCTGCGGGGGCTCTGGCTCCCACATGGATTCAGCTGACCACAGAAGAGCATGAGGCTGTTTCAGCTCCTTTGTTCTCTCAGCCTCCTTTTGCTCTTCTGCTGTGGGTGTGACACTACAGAGGTCCTTGCCAGACAGTACCTTCTCAAAACAGATGAAGACACCTTAGACCGGGGGTATAGCTCAGTGGCATGTGTGAGGTCTTGCGTTCGATTCCCATTACCTCCCCCTCCCCCCAAAAGAAGACCCCTCATGGGGGTGGGGGGGGCCTTTTTTAAAATCAAATTTGGCTATCAAACCCAGCCTGAGTCCCTTTTTTCAGCCGCTTCGTCTTGGGCATCTTTGTTGGACACTGCTCACAGAGGGCTGACAATCCTGTACTATTTCCTCACAGTTCCTCTAGAGTGAGGCACAGTTGACAGGAAGCTGTGTGTCTGAGGGAAAGGGTGGCTTTTTCATTGGTTAGCTCCACTGTGGGGTGGTCAGATGAGCAAAATAACTTTCTTTGTGGGGCCTTTTCTTCAGCTTCTCCTGACAACAACCCTCCTCATGCCCCAGAGCATCTTAAGGCCGATTACCAGTGTCCTGGGAACACAGCAGAGTCAGAGAGCCTGCTGCTTCTGTGTCCGCAGTGCACCCTGACGTACTGCAGCACGCTGCGGGTGTCTAATTGTAGTGTACAGATTCACACTGCTTTAAGCCTAGGAGATGGACCAGGTTTGTCCTGTTCACACATCCTGGGCAGAGAGCACAATCCATGGCCTCTTGACTACGCAAATTTTTTTGCTGAGTGAATAAAAGTTGAGTAAGAGCTCTGGGGCTGGTATTGAGAGTTTTCCTTAGAGTACAAGAACCACAGAGCACTTGAGACTGCCTGTAATTTGAATGGAGCACTTTGCGCTCTCCTTGGTCCAGGTACAGCCAACAGCTTTGTGTCATGGTTTTGTTCCTCACGGATCCAGTCTTCTTGTGATGACAGAAGCATCTCAGATGCAATGAACAAAAGGCCTCCCTGGGGTTATGGAAAGTGCTGCTTGCTCTTGGTTCCTGTTGTTAACACACATTACCCAAGAAGCTGAGTTAAGACCCTTGCACCTCAACAGGGAGCCAGCATACACAGCTCGCCTCCAGAGGATGAGTGGGCTTCACGTTCTTTAAATTATTGTTAGGAGGTGAAATCTGCTCTGCTAGTTGAGGAGAAAGGAAGTTGCTCCTGGTGGAAGGAGACTCCAGTTAGCACACTCACCCCCAGCCAGCACGTGAAGAGGCGAGGATGCAGAGGATGGTATGCCAGAGCAGGGAGCCCGCAAGGCAGAGCAGGCAGTAATGAAGCGCTTCCGTGAGGAAGACGGACAAGGAGAAAGTGAAGAGCCGTGTGCTAGATCCACAGGCTTGACAGAGGCCCAGCTATACCACGGCTGGCAGAAGACAGAGCTTCACTTCCATCTCACCTTATGGTGCAGCCTTTCAGGCCTACACACCAACTCCTTTACTCCTTGCAGTTGTAGCTCGGACTCCATGGTCATAGCTAGGTCAATGCCCTGTGAACATTTCAAGCCAGGAAAAGAGGAGAAGTGGAAGTAAAGGGCATTTTTTGCCTACGGAGTAGCCTGGAAATTGCATTCTTGCTTCTGTCCATATTTCTCTGGCAAAAATTGAGCCGCGTTTAGCGGCAAGCGAGGCTGGCATATGAGTATATGAGTGGGTATTTATCCAGATAAAACCACGTAGAGTAAGGAGAGGAGGACCTGAGGAACAACTAGAGTCTGTTGTAGCTCCCAAGGACATAGCAGAGGAAGCAGGGAAACTGTGTGTGTTGCCCCACGCCACAGATCGCTGAGGTGTCAAGCAGACACATGGCTGAGACAAGAATGCACGATCCAGTGAACCACCCTGTCTGACCACCTTGGTCCTTAGTTTCTTGACTACTGCCAGACAGGGCCCACTCACTCACGCTATGCTATCCGCAATGAGCTAAGAGCTTTTTTAATTCAGTGCCTTCTGAAGGTGATGGGAGTGCTGAGAATGACAGAAGCCACTTGGACTTAGCACTGTATTTTTCTTCCAGTGAGAAAACTATGCAAAACCACATTTGACCCTAAAATCACAGGTTGTTGGTCAACATCGTCACTGAAAGTGGTTGAGTCCATATAGGTAATGTAGTCTTTGTGCACAGCTGGGTTGACCTCAACCTGCCATAAGCTGGTCTGACAGGAATAACCAGTCTTGTCCTAAAGCCTTCATTACTAGAGGCAGACAGCATTTACTCTTTGCTTTTTGACCTTAACACAGCACTGAACCTTCTTCCTTGAACTTGAACTCTTTAGCCTTTGTCTTTTGCCCGAGGCATACCACATCTATCATTTGTGGTAACAGCTCAGAGTACAAACATACAAGGAATCTGAGTTCCCTTCTGTGTGCCAGACCGCGTACCTGGTATTGGTCCTCCAGAAATGGTCATGGCAGAGGGCAGGACTAACACGTGCAACATCTAAGGGGCACCACGCATAAGGAGTCTATGCCGAGAAAGCTTGGTGGCATAAGCACCTGCCTGGTAGGAACAAGGTCCCGGGTTTGATCCCTGGTACCACGTGCTGTGCTACCCCCGCCAGTCCCCGAAACTGGGCATGGTGATTCACGCCTGTAATCCCCAGTGCTGGGGAGGCTGAGACAGGAGGATCACAACGAGTCCAAACTGTATAATGAGACGCTGTGTAAAATTAAAAAATACATTAAAAAATAAAAATAAAAAAGGTGAACGCTTGTCATATATTGGCCAATTTGCATGGTGGTGTGCAAAGAAAGAGAGATATTTTCTCTTATTGTTTATTCACCTGAGTTCTAATATTACCTAAACGGGTAACATGGGAATGAACACTAAAAAGGCTGCATTCTTTATGTAACAGGAAACCAAGGAAACATTAGATAGCCAGTCTCCTATTGATGGAGTTATTTAGGGTGCCTCATTCTGCAAGAAACAGAGGAACTGTTGTTTTTTGGCACTGGGAATCAAACTCACGCTCTCACACTGCCTAGGCAAGTACTGTGTCACTGACTTATACTCCCAGCCCAGTATTTCTTGAAGAGGCTAGGGAGGATTAAAAACAAACACAACACATCTTTAGATATTTATTTATCTTTTTGAGACAGGGTCTAGCCTTGAGCGCGATTTGTAGCCAGGCTGGTCTCGAACATGCAAAAATCTTCCTGCCTGGAGTGCTGGGATTATAGGTATGTACTACCACATACCACCATACCCGGTTTACATCTTAAAATATTGAAGGAGGTTCCTTTACTTGAGCTTACACTTAGGCATGATGCATAGCCAAAGACAAAATCGATGGGACTTACATCTCCAGAGGAGAAATGACCTAATATTGCCTAACTTTTCTCTCTTTTTTTTTTTTTTTTAAGTATTTGGTTGTTATAGGGTCTCACTATGCAGCTCGAACTCACAGTGATCCTCCTTTCAGCCTCCCCAGCACTGGGACCACAGGTGTGCGCCACTATGCCTGGACTCTGTCTGGCTCAGCCCACTCCGGAAGCGAGGCTGGCGCAGCATGTGGTTCCAGGATCGAACTGTGGTCCCTGTGCTTGCCTAAGCTGGCCTAAGCAGGTGATTTGGTCTGCTGAGTTATCTTACTGGTCCCCTTTTACTCCATTTTGAAACTAACTGAATTTTTTTTTTTTTTTTTAATGTATTCAGTAAAGGGTCTGCAGGGTCTCACTACACAGATCACTCATAGTGATCCTCCTGTTTTTAGCCTCCCAAGCACTGGGATGACAGGTGCCACCATGCTCAGTCTACATCACCGTCTTAGTGCACCCTGGGGGCAGGGCTGGCATGGCACAACGAAGATTGAACCCCGGTCCCTGTGTCTGCCTAAGCAGGCACTTTAATCTGCTGAGCTATCTGGCTGGCCCCTGACTGAGTATTTAATAGCACTTTTCATTCCTCAAATTTTAAAGAACTGTCCATTTCCTGGAAGACTCAGAAAAAGAAGAAAATATACTTCACTGAAATTTGCTTGCGATACCACTACCAATTACTCTTTATTGGGTTCCCTGACACTTTAGGAAAGATATGATTTGTAACTATAATAGGCCACATCCGGAGTCTATCTGTAGATGATTCTAATTTATTCCTGAGCATAGCACTGCTCCAAACATGGGCATTTCAAAACAGAATAAATTTAAAAAACAGAAAAAAAATATATCCTATTTCTCTTTAAAAACTGGTTTTCTTCTGATTAATATAACTTCTTTCCTTACCCAGGTACATTTTTTGAGAAGAACCTTCTAAAGAACTTCCAGCAGTTGGATTTGGCGGAAAACTGTGCAAGCAGTGACGGATGGCTTGGCTTCATGGGTGCATTTGAGAGTCTTAAGCAATTAGTATTTTTTGACTTCAGTACTAAAGGACTTTTACCTGACCCGGCATTAGTCAGAAAACTTGGCCATGTATTATCCAAATTAACTTCTTTGCAAGAAGCTAGGCTTATTGGATGGCAATTTGATGATGAAGATATCAGTGTCATTAAAGGTGCTTTCAAGCTAGTAACTGCTTAAGTAAAAGACACCCTTTGCTAATGAGAACGTGGGGTGCTCTTTACTTTCAGCATGATTTAGAATCCTTGGAAGAAGATGAGGAAATGGGAGTTTAACTTTATGACTCGTACAGTAGTTCGGTGTCTCCTCTCTCCAAGTAGGATTATCAGCTCCTTGAAGGGACTCTAGCACATCCTGTGTGACCCTTGGCCCCAAGGATACTAGGGGACAAAAACTAGTATAATATTACTTGGTACAGTTCCTGGCATGTAACTGATTCAGCAAATATTTGCTAAATATAAATAAATCATCAATAAATAGTTTGATGCTTTAAGGTGTGGTGATGCATGCCTGTACTCCCAGCTACTCAGGAGGGTGGGGTAGGAAGATCACAAGTTCAGTGCCAGCCTGAGTAATGTGAGACTCTGGCTCAAAATTCAGAAAGTTCAGGGCTCAGGATGTACTATAACTCAGTGCTCCCAGGTTTAAGTCCCAGTACTGCCAAAACAAAACAGAAACAACAAAAAGCCATTGTGAAGAAGCAAACCAGAATTATCTAATGCTCTTTAATCGAAATGTTTAATTCCAATTAAAGGATTTGGAATGTAAAAAAACCACTTTCTCATATTGGACGCATACTGGACTACCAAAGAAGACTCGCATTCTTTAGTCAAGTAAGAACTGGCAGTTGATAAGCAAGTAAACCAGAGGCTTCTAAGTCAGACCTTCTGCAGTAGCGGAACCATTCCCTGTATATAATTCCATAATGAAGAGAGAGAGAAAATAAGAAAATATATCTCATTCATTTGCTCCCTATGGAAGCCAAGCACACCCAGCCTTGACCTTTTCTCCATCTCCCAAAATAGCCACTCCCAAAAACATCTAAAAAACCTAATTCAAACAGGTTGAAATCAAGGGTTTAGGAAAAACTAGCTTGTACTTGTAGTGCATCTTCTATTCTCATGGCAACTCAAATTAATGGCTTAGCTGTTGGTGTAGGTAACCCTTGGCCAGCATGCTGAGGTAGAAGTTAGAAACTTGGGGTGAATCCGTTAAGTAATTGGGCATCTATTCTATAGATTTAGTCATAAAATTTTACAGATCAACTAATTCATTCTCTTCCTTAATTTACAGATGAGAAAGCTCAGAGATGTTAACCCGCTTGTTCAGGATTACAAAACTGCTTCTATAGCTTCCACGGCAGGACTGGAACCCTATTACCTTCCAGTCCAGGGATTGTTCCATTACATACAGTGATTTCTTCAAATGGAATTAGTCACACTCCAAGGAGCTTGCTTATAATCACAGGCCTGGGCTGAAATTCCTTTTTTTTTTTTTTTTTTTTTCTGTCTTGTTTCAAGCTATCCTCTGGCAAGACTTACCAACAATGCCGCTGCAGTGTTGCAGAAAGCTGTGCTGGCCATGATCATATCCAGGAGCTGGTGAGAACTCGGCCAGCAAGACCTCTATGAAATAGTGGGCGGGCAATGCCGTCTGCAACGTTTGGCACCACTGATTTTCAGCAGGTCGCACCAATGCCTTCACGGCCCACAGGCACGTCTGAGGGTCCTTTCTCAAGGAGGGCAGGTGAGCAGTAGTGCCCCTGTTGTGGCACAGCTGCAGATACGGCCTCTGAATGAGTCTAAGGAAGCAGGCACAGAACCTGATGCAGATCTCTGCTCAGTATCCAGTCACTTAAAAATCCCACAGGAAGACACGAGAAGACATGTATGGGGACGCAGCACACACGTCTTAATTATCACTCAGGACGTGACTGTCCTTTAAATTTCACACATGACCTCAATTCACGTTTGGATGAGGTCAATGGAGGAAAACCCCCTTTTAGCAGTAGACTAATACTAGGTACAGTACATAGCTGGATGACGTAAGACAAAGGACAAGAAACAGGTTGCCGTGTTATAAACTTTCATTTTCCCAGGGTTGAGGGGACGCGTGGGCTGTGCTTCTTCGCCCAAACAGAGCTGCAGCTGTCAAAAACAATGGTCAACACTTTGCTAAGCAAAAGGTTCTTAGAATGTGGTCACTTTTTTACAAAAGATGATTACAATTTTACTTGATACAGGTGGATTTTTTGACATTTGTTATTCTACTGTGAAGGAGGACTTGGAAGTGTCCTATTTATAAAGAGGATGAACTGTTACCAATGCTGCCAAGACAAGTGTCTTCTCTAGATCGCTGTGTGGAGGCTGAAAAGTCACAGGGCTCCAGACAACACAATGGGTTCTAGGGAAGCCAAATCCATTTTCAAAATTCACGTAAAAAATCATAGCTATAGAATGATAAAACAACATAAAACAAACTTCACAGGTACTGTATGACTGCTGCTCATTATGCTTTTTGTGAGTAATACTGGCCCCATTGGAAAGGCTTTAAAATCTGCCTTCAAAAAACAACCAAAAAATTATTTAGATGATTCTCACACTGAATCACATTAACAATTCACTTTAACTGCCCACAGGCTTCATAATACTGTATCCTGCAATGTATAGTCCATTATACTTCGGTGAAATTATATAAAATATAGCTGAATTATGCAAATTTGAAAAGATATCAAATACCAAAAGATATTTATAAGGAATTCCACATAGTTTGGTGATATGTTTTGGTAATAAAATGAGAAATACAACAATTAAAAGGTAATTTGAAAAGATTCATTCCACTATTATGAACATAGAAAACTGGGATTCTTTCATTGCATTTCATGAAAGGTTTGGTATTCACTTAACTAAATAAAACACTGAGAACCATCAACTATTTACAACTGTTGCCAGGCATTCGGGTCCACGCCTGTGATCCCAGTACTTGGGAGGACGAAGCAGGAGGATCTTCACAAATTCAAAGCCAGCCTGGGCTACATGGTTACTTTAAGGCCAGCCAGAACTATAGTGTGACTCTGTCTAAAACACCAATTAAAAATAAAAATAAAAAAATAAAACACCAATACCAACTGGGCGGTGGTGCACACCTATAATCCCAGCACTCTGGAGGCTGAGGCAGGAGGATCACTGTGAGTTCAAGACCAGTGTGGGCTACAAAGTGAGCTCCAGGCCAGCCTTAACAGCACAGTGAGACCCTGTCTCAAAAAGACCAAAAACAACAATGACCAAAAAACTGCCCCCCCAACACTAACACCCCAGTGACAACATCCAATGTGTTGAAATCTGTGAACGTGACAAATTTTAACAAAAATCCACATAATTAAAAGACCTTTAAATTGTGTTAAGATAGTACACTGTGTCCAAAAATTTCTAATAAAAACATTTGCTAATACTTTGCAAGACATAATTCAGAGCTGGGAATGGTGGTTCCCCCCCTATACTCCCAGCACTTGAGAGGCTGAGGCAGGAGGATTACTGAGAATTGGAAGCCAGTCTGGACTATAAAGTGAATTGAAGGCTAGTCTGAACTTGACAGTGAAGCCCTGCCTCAAACAACAATACAACAAAACCAAAACAAAATACAAAGGTATAATTTAAGAGGAGCTAAAAAAAAGTAGCAATTAAATCTGAAAAAATTATAAAAGACTTTTACTTTAAAAATGACATTGCTTTCCTTTCCTAATATGTATATTATTCATGAAGCATGTCTATAAATTTCACTGAAAAAAATCAAGAGGCTTTCTTATAAAGGTGAGGTATTATCACATTGCAGGCAGTTACAAAAGTAAAGAGAACAAAACTAAAATCTAGAGAAACAAACTTTCTAAAAGAAGCCTATTTAAAGTCTGCAGCATTTGCAAGGATCTCACTGCCACAAAAACATTTTACAAAAATAGAGTTTATAGGTTCCATGAAAGGTGAACAAGCCCACTATACTCTTAACATTTAGTGTAAATAATTCAACAGTCAATGCAAAGTTGGATTACTAAATAAACCGGAAGCCAAAAGTCAATAATCCTCGTAAAAGTAAGTTACAGTACATCATGGCCTTGGTTGTCCAATTCTGCTGTTACTTCCATATCTACTTGGTGTATTTGTAAAACCAGTCCTGAATCCGTGGGGTGCTCCAATTCCTGGAACTCCGAGTCCTTGATTCAACATGTTGCTGTATGGTGTGTGTCCATGATTAAGACCAGTACCATAAGGCCTTGTTTGTGTGTTTAGAAGAATAACTGGGCTCACATTTTTTCCAGGGGTGTTAAATGAAAACTCTGGAGGTGGACTACTAGGTTTAGTTGGAGTCGATGTGACAGGGTTCAAATCATCAGCTGTCTTAAAAAGAGGCATTGGGATTATGTGATGGTCTGAGAAGTTGAGCACATTGGCTGCAACGGGCCCAGACACCAAGGCAGGCCTAATCCAGTCATCCTTGAAAATCTGAACAGTCAGAGTAGACACAAGGGTATAGAGTCTGTTGGTGACATGAGCAAGGACCATTTGTTCATTGGCATCCCGTCGAATTCTTACATGCACTGATCCAGCCTAAGGGGCAAAATCACAAGAAAGAAAGTGCTTAGAATTATTCTGCTGAATGGTCCATTAGAGGTAAACATTCAAGCTTAATGTCTTGCTATTTTTAAAGACAATTTATTCATGATTACCAATATAAAAGGCCAACAAAGTAGTATTTATCCCTCTAAAATATTAACAAAGGAAAGAAGTTCATTTAGGAGAAAGGAATACTCTAATGCAAAGTAGAATATAAATGAAATGTACAGGGGCCAGGGAGATGGCTCAGTAGGTTAAGTGCTTCCCTGGCAAGCACAAGGGCCTGAGTTCAATCCCTGGTTCTGAAAAAAAAAAAAAAAAAAGAAATGTACAGAACTAAAACAGAGGGATATAGTTCAGCGGCATAAGTGCCTGCCTGGAAAGCAGATGGTTCTGAGTTTGATCCCCATACCAGAAAAGTACCAACAAAAACAAAAACATTAAAATGGAAGGGCAGCAAAAAATAGATATTTTTAAAAAAGTATAAATTCCAAATGGAAAAGACCTTCAAAAGAAGACTGCATTTGATTTAGGGTTAACAATTAAATAGAATTTCAAAAATTGGAGGGGGGTAGGGGAGATAGCTTGGTGGGATAAGTGTCTGCCAAGCACAAGGTCCCAAGTTCGATCCCTGGTACCACACGCCCTGCTGGCCCCTGAACCCCACATGCACCAGGCTGGCCCCTAAGCTGGGCTTGGTGACACACACCTGTAATTCCAGTGATGGGGAGGCTGATAAAGGAGAATTACTGAGTCTGAACCATGTAACCCTGTATCCAATCCAACACACACACACACACACACACACACACACACTTAGAGAAAGGCATCCTATGCTAAAATGAAGAATATTACTAACACAGAAGGAAGTAAAAATATTTGAAGGGCAGGAGAGAAACATAAGGCATGAAGGAAGAGAAGAAAAGAATAGGTAATCAGGTAAAAGGCTCAGAGAGGCTAAAATGGTAAGCTGCATTCAAACAGAAGTCACAACTGAATTTAGAAACACTATTGTGCTCATGGGTGATTAGTAATGAGGTAGGAAATAACAGCAACAATCTAAGTTAGAAATGAGATTGCTTTGCTAGGATAAAAATTGTAGGGCTGGGGATATAGCTCAGCAGGACAAGCACCTGCCTGGCAAGCACAAAGTCCCGAGTTCAATTCCCAATACCAAAAAAAAAAAAGTAAGCTACAAGAGGAACAGATTTCCCCAGTTCTGCCAAAAAAGAAAAAAAAAAAAAAGAGGAACAGATGGATTAATTCTACTCCAGAGGTAGACACAGTATGATGTGATGATACTCAAATGGAACTAATAGATGAAGGAGATGGACTTATCAAAAATGACCTCAAGGTTTCTACCCTAGGTACTCAGAGGACAGAGCACAGCAGGCACTTCAATGATGGCTAGAAGAATGTCAGCAACTTGACAAGGTGTTTACTGTACATTATATATTTAAAGTAGATAACAACATGTAAATACTGGAATGAATGATACTATTTTGATTAAAGCACACAACAACAAAAATAAAATGAACTTTAAGAAAACATACAGTCCACAAAGAAAAATACCAAGAATGACAGCAATTATTTCTAGATGGCTAAATTATTAAGGTGTTTTCTTCAATTCTTGATTTAGTCATAAACTGCTTTCTAATAACTAGGTACTATTTACTTAATAAAAATAAAAATATAGTTGTACAGTAAATAAAATGTCCAGACATGCTGCTTTCTAAACTCAGAGTTTCTTAATAGAAAAGCTTAGAATAAGTGTATGTAAATTAGCCAAACAATTTACCTAATTATGACATATCTCAGTGTATGAGTTAGAAGGCCAAATACAGAGTATTGTCATCATGTGACAGAGAAAATACCTGCCTTCTGCAGCCAGGTTAGGAACCGTCACCTTTGATTTTTCCCTTTTCTTTGACATTACTGCTTATATTTGACACTCTACAAAACTGTGACAAATACAGTATACTCTTTCAGTTTAACATGGAAACCAGTGAAAACCATTTTAGCATATGAGTTTAAACAGTCTCCTATACAGGTGATACATATATTATACTTAGGCTTACTGGTCATAAAAAGAATTAAGATGTGTTACATATGTGTACCAACTCCTCACAATGAGCATAATTATTAGGTACTACAAACATGTACCAATGCAATTAAAAACTTTAATAAATAAGGCTTTTATGAACTGACTTTGGGAGCTCTAAAGCTTCTTCTGTTAATTATCCAGGGACCACACAGGTGTGGTTTCTGAATAGCTGAGATGACTACACCTTTTATGTCTAAACCATCCAGATTAAGAACTGCTCACTACTCACTTATTACTATCACTGGTATAACTAAAAAAATGGTTAAAAACTAAATATAATGTTGGGGGAATATAAATCATACAGCACTGCTAGAAGCAACCTGCAATTCACATCAAATGCCATAAAAAGATGATTATTTTTGACTCTCAAATCCACTACTAAAAGTAAATCTTCAAGGATAATCATGGAGCCAGGCATGGTGGTGCATACCTATAATCCCAGCATTCCGGAGGCTGAGGCAGGAGGTCTGCCACAAGCCTGAGGCCAGCTTGGAGTACAAAGCAAGACTCTATCTCAAAAACAAAACAAAACAACAACAACCCCTACTCCTTACAACTCTACAGCCATTAAAAATTATGTTGGAGGGCCCGGGAAGATAGCTCAGTAGAATAAGTGCTTGCCTGGCAAGCGCAGGGTCCTGAGTTCAATGTCCGGTACCAGGGGGAAAAAAAGCGCCGGGATTCTTGGAAGATAGCAGAAGTTTTTGATATGTCCAAATGTTCTCAAAGAACAAAGACAGTAATGTTGAAAATTTATGAATAACATAAAAAAACCTAAGCAAAGTAATATTCCATTTTAATTCCAAATACAAGGTGTAACACTTATATGGTATCAGAAGCTGTGTAGGAGGAAGCAGGAAGCAACAGGACAACTGAATGATCTAAAAACCCAACAGCAGCTAACTAGGTACTTAATGAAACTCCAGGACAGTCCCCGGGAGAAGGCAGGCGGAGCCAGGAGAGGCTTCTGGGTGTGTGATCCTCCAGGTCTGTGATGTGACCCAGTGTGCAGGGCTGCAGCTGCCTGAGCCCTTGGAGCTCTCAAAAGCAAGCAGACAAAACCATTTTACAAGACAAAGCCCCACACTAAGAGGAAAGAACAGGGTCAGGAACCCAAATTGAGCAGCACAGCAGAGAAACAGGATAGAGAAAATTCACCCAGATGAAGAGGTTCAAACGGACACTGAAGGAAATTCCCTTTATGAAATCACGAGGAGCTCCCAAACTATGGATTCATACACATTACTATAAATCAGTCTTAATTTTAAAGTTCAATAAACTAATTTCACATAAAAATGAGCATGAGTACAGGACTGAAACCAAATCTCACATGAAATTACAAGAAAAAACCCAACAGATTATAAGACCACCACAAGAACACAACACTGCCTAAGTACTGCACGCTAAGCGACGGCGCCGCTGGAGCACCACGGCCGTAACCACACAAGAGACACAAACCATAAACGGGGCCGGGATATAGCTCAGCGGCAGCACAGCGCCTGCCTGGCAGGTGTGAGGTACTGTGTTTGTTTTCTGGTACCCAAAGCTCCCAAGAAGAAAGATCCTGTCAGAAAAACAGGACACCAATTCAGGAACTATTTTTCTCAGGGATCCTTTCTGGAGAATTCACTAGACAATGAGTCTGAGACATTCAAAACGAACAAACAAGCAAACAAACAAACCCCTACAGCAGGAAAAGCAGGGGAGAGGGAAAGTGAAAGCCATTTTCCCACAAGAGCACGAGCTTGAAAGGAAGGACTGGGAGGTAAATGACACTACTGCATGGCAGGATCACCCCAGTTTGCCCACCTATGAAATCTGTCTTTTTTTTTTAATTTTAGAAAAATATTTCTGAAGTGAGTATGTAACATGAGATTACTAACAGATTGTACACTGTAAAAAAAATTTAGAAACTTAAATAAATATAACAATAAAAATTGGGGTCAGGGAGATGGCTCAGTAGAATAAGTACTTGCCTGGCAAGCACAAGGGCCTGAGTTCAATCCCTGGTTCCACAAAAAAATAAAAATAAAAATAAAAATAAAATAAACAACTAAACAAAAACAATAAAAATTGTCTAAAATAAACATGAAGAAAAGTTTACAAATTAGTCATATAATTGTTCTCTCTGTGCCAAAATCAAGAAACTTACATTCATATAATTAGAATTCTCAAAGTAGAATGGGGTAGGCAATAAATATTTATAGATTTAAAATTTCTGAATTTAGTTAAAATCATAGCACCACATTTCCAAGAAAAATGAACCTTTTGCACAAGAAATATGAATAAAATTGTATCAAGATACATAAAACTGAAATTATTCAAAACTAACTGTAAAAAAATTTTAAAAATTAAATATATAAAAAAGAAAATCATTAAAGCATATACATAGAAAAAATACTAGCTATAGAAGAACAAAATTAAATAACATCTCATTACACATTAGAAAAAAACCCAGCAAATGGGTAAGAAACTAGACTTATTTACTCAAAGGACTGAAAAAAAATTTTGTCCTCATTGAATTTTTTTTTCTTTTCTTTTTTTTTTTTAAATTTTATTTATTTATGTGGGGGGGGCAGCTCAGCCCACCAGGAGGCGCGGCTGGCTGGCATGTGGTGCTGGGGGATTGAACCGCGGTCCCTGTGCTTTGTTAAGCTTGTTCTAAGTAGGTGCTTTAGACCACTGAGCCATCTCACCAGCCCCCTCATTGAATTTTATACCTAGGCAAACATACCTTTGAGAACTAAAAGTAAAATATTTTCCAGTTATACAAACTCAAAATATTCTAAATCCTCCAGACGTAGCATATAGAAAATAACAAAGACCATAATCCAGAAGGAAAGAGAAGTAGCTGTATGGTCCTGGATAAAGAATAAAGACCTCTCAAAAT